TTCAATCTATCTTCGAGAATTGTTGACCTCAAGTAATTCTTCATTAGAAGCTTCTTTCACTAGATTCCACAATTATGGGTATTGCATAATGCCGTTTGTTTTTTTTTCATCGCGCGTAGGATTGGCGTTTTCAATTTTGAATGACACCCCAAACTGACAATTTTTTGTCTATATATTTCAGGTCATTTTTTTTTTTTTGGAGTTTTCAAAAGATTTTAATAATTTTTTTCGTATCTTTTGCAATTTTAGGAGATATCAAGGAGCTCCTGGTAAATCAGAAGGCTGCGGGAATTCTGTTATAAGTTATAAATAAAAATTTTATTTTAATAATTTACACCTAGAATTAGCGCGGGTCCTTCGAAAGTGCGGGGCCCACTTCGGTCGTATATGTTGCATTGGCCTAAGGCCGGCCCTGCAAAATAAAGGCGTATGCTACGCCGTGGGCTGACTAGTTTGTTATAAATCACACAGCCTATTTTCTGTCTGTTCTAAATCTATCTACGCGATAGTCTGTATAACTTAAATCAACTAGAGGCTACCATTTGAAAACATCCCACGTAGACTTCGTGGTAATAACAAACCAACTTAACTTTTTAAAATCATGTCCACGGACGAGGTCTTATAGATAATATAAACCCAAATAAACTTATGAACAAGCAAAATAAAAAAGAGTTGTTAAAAAGCTTATATCTTAGTGTCACGTCAAGTTTCAATAAACATAAGCTAGGGTAATAAACTTAGTAAATTTTTATCCCAGTATGGAAAACCCATGACGTTATCAGACACGCGTTAGGTAGCGCCTCCTAGGGAATAATTGGATTGGTTAAAGCAAGCGTTGGGGAGGAATTAAGGAAACGATTTGATAAAGCAGGATTTAGAGAAATTAGTTTGGAGATGTAACTTGAAGTGACAAGTCATATAGTGTATTAGTTTTGAAATTAGATCTAGTATTAATCTGAACCTATTTGCCTAGCCGCCGTAGAAGAATATATTCATTTGATATAGTTTTATTTTGTATATTCTGTACATTATTGTGATTCCCAGTTTTTGAATTAAAGTTATGTATTTGAATTGAAAGGATCTTCGTTATTTGAGTCTCTAAGACATATTCAGATGCAGACTCCCCGCCATCACAGTTACAACATATTATCACCTTCGACGAATAAGTATTTTCAACAACAAGAAGAAACCTGTGATACTTAAGGTGAAAAAAGAAAATTACTTCCAATTATCTTAAGGTGGCAGGTTTAGCTCCCTTTCTACTATAGGAAACAAAAGTAATTACATACTACTATTTAATTGATTAACTAATTGGTTAATTTTTTTTTATTGATTCATCTTTTGTCAGGCACAAAAAATAATTGTGCAAAGCTTTAACTCGATTCGAGAATGAGAACTGAGAGAAAAAAAACATGTAAAAAAATATTGGCAGACAGTCATAGTTTTAGTGACTTGATGTTAGCTTTGTACAGACTAGAAAGTCGTTGAGATGTGGTATAGCTCATGTATTGTTATCTGAACTGTAGTTCATGTTTTGTTATCTGAACTGTAGCTCATGTTTTGTTATCTGAAGTGTAGCTCATGTTTTGTTATCTGAACTGTAGCTCATGTTTTGTTATCTGAAGTGTAGCTCATGTTTTGTTATCTGAAGTGTAGCTCATGTTTTGTTGTCTGAACTGTAGCTCATGTTTTGTTGTCTGAAGTGTAGCTCATGTTTTGTTATCTGAACTGTAGCTCATGTTTTGTTATCTGAACTGTAGCTCATGTTTTGTTGTCTGAACTATAGCTCATGTTTTGTTATCTGAACTGTAGCTCATGTTTTGTTATCTGAACTGTAGTTCATGTTTTGTTGTCTGAACTGTAGCTCATGTTTTGTTATCTGAAGTGTAGCTCATGTTTTGTTATCTGAACTGTAGCTCATGTTTTATTGTCTGAACTGTAGCTCATTTTTTGTTGTCTGAACTGTAGTTCATGTTTTGTTGTCTGAACTGTAGTTCATGTTTTGTTGTCTGAACTGTAGTTCATGTTTTGTTGTCTGAACTGTAGTTCATGTTTTGTTGTCTGAACTGTAGTTCATGTTTTGTTGTCTGAAGTGTATTCGTGTAATGTTCTTAAGGTAAAGTGGAGATCTCTCCATGTGAACTTAATGTCGGGGATACAGTCAGATGTTGTTACGATGCTGACCTGGTCAAGTTGTTACAAAATGGCCATGGAGGTTGGAATGAGGACATGAGAAAGGTCAGAGTTTATGTATGAGATTTGAAGACGTCTACTAATTAATGACTAATAAAATAAATGTTAAATAAATCTGATCATTTATCTAGCTAGACATTTTTGTATCCAGCCAAAATACCTTTTTTTTACTATAGCTAGAAACGAAAACAAAAGCAAGTATGTTCTAATGACTGGAGAAAATCAGACAAAAGAACAATCTCTTCAAAGTACTAACCACAAGTTTGAAAGCCGTTTAAATATTTAGGAAGCATGATACGTTCCAACAATGACCTAATGTTAGAAGTAAAGAAGGAACAACTAGCGGCATGCAACAGAGCTTTCTAATAACACACAACACATACTTAAAAGCAAACATATCTAAGAAAACAAAGAAAACTATCTACAAAACAATCCTAAGACCAGAAGTTATGTATGAAAGTGAAACCTGGACGCTGACAGAAGTTACAGAAAAAATCTGCTCAATACTTGGGAAATGAAAATCCTCAGAAAAATGTATGCTGTCAAACATAAGAAAACCGGATGAAGGACTCGAACCAACCAAGAAATAAACCAGCTATATGATGACCCCCTCCATAGTGACGGAAATAAAAAGGAACCTATTTCGTTGGGCAGGTCACCTCGAAAGAATGCCAGAGAACAGAGGAGCAAAGATTGTTCGCCGTCAAAAACCAAAAGAAGGTGCCCCAAAGGCAGACCACGACTACGGTGTAGAGGATAGATCAGAATGGAGAGATGTGCTAGTCTCAGGCCAGGACCCCCACAGGATAGATCAGAATGGAAAAATGTGCTAGTCTCAGGCCAGGACCCTCCACAGGATAGATCAGAATGGAAAGATGTGCTAGTCTCAGGCCAGAGCCCTCCACAGGATAGATCAGAATGGAGAGATGTGCCTCAGGCCTGGGCCCTCCACAGAATAGATCAGAATGGAAAGATGTGCTAGTCTCAGGCCTGGGCCCTCCACAGGATAGATCAGAATGGAAAGATGTGCAAGTATCAAGCTTGGACTCTCCACAGGATAGATCAGAATGAGGAGATGTGCTAGTCTCAAGCCAGGTCCCTCCACAGGATAGATCACAATGGAGAGATGTGCTAGTCAGGCCAGGACCATCCACAGGATAGATCAGAATGGAAAGATGTGCTAGTCTCATGCCAGGGCCCTCCACAGGATAGATCAGAATGGAGAGATGTGCTAGTTCAGGCCAGGGCCCTTCATGTGCTGTAGTGCCACTGGAAATAGATGGATGTATGTATAAACCTAAAAACTATTTTCTAAATTTAAAAAAAAAGTGTATAGTTTCATTCATACAATATGAATTCTAAGTTTCGAGAGCCAAAACAAAGGGCACACGCTCAGAAGTTTATTACGTAGCATTCCTAATTGTATAAAATCTCTTTCATTACATCACGTGACTAATCCCAAAGCATATTTATGTATTGATTGATTTATTTTTCTACCTAACTAGTATGTGTATGCGTGCTGTATTTCAGTATGTATGTTTGAATGGTGTAGTAGATAAAATATTCAGCGACAATGCTGTCATTGTGAAATATGGAGATGGAAAAAGATGGTGTTTTAATCAAGATGCCCTAAGCAAGGTAATGATCATTTCATCAAATGTATTTCTCTTCATTTTAAATGTAATTTTAGAAGACGTGATCGATAAAAATCATCGTTTGTCCTTGACCCAAGAGTGTTGTTAGGACTTGATGCACCGCCTAATTTCTCTGAATCGTCTACATCTAACTCAAACTAAACTCATCAGCTTTTCTCTTGTCTGCGTATTCTGTACACGGAACTCTCAATAATAATATTCCAAAAGAATTCTGCCAAGCAATGTGTCGGAACTAACGTCAGTATCACCTGTGATTGCTTTTTGTTGTCATTTTGATAACCTAACCAGTACCACCTGTGATTGTTTTATGTTGTCATTTTGATAACCTAACCAGTATCACCTGTGATTGTTTTATGTTGTTATTTTGATAACCTAACCAGTATCACCTGTGATTGTTTTATGTTGTCATTTTGATAACCTAACCAGTATCACCTGTGATTGTTTTATGTTGTTATTTTGATAACCTAACCAGTATCCCCTGTGATTGTTTTATGTTGTCATTTTGATAACCTAACCAGTACAACCTGTGATTGTTTTATGCTGTCATTTTGATAACCTAACCAGTACCACCTGTGATTGTTTTATGTTTTCAGGTTAATAGCCTAACCAGTGTCACTTGCAGCCCGATGGATTCCTCTTTGGTTAGGAAAGTGATAGAATTAGGCTTTGACCGGCGGACTATTGAAGATGTTACGTTGAAACAGTTTTCAGAAGGCCGTGGCTATTTTAGTACCGTGGAAGATCTAATGGACAAAGTTTTAGAGACACAACAAAAGAGGTCAGCGTCTAGTGGCATGGAGCAATCTATCCGTGAAGTCGTCATAAGTGAAAATCAAATGGCTGATGTCGCTTTGGGCTCTACTATGACATCTGATAGAGTCAATGCATCAGAAACGCTCAGTGAGAACCAGAGGCTTGCAGAAGAGAATCGCCAGCTCAAAGAACGACACCAGTGCAAGATCTGTTTGGAGAATGATGTCAGCATGACCTTTGTGCCCTGTGGTCACTTGGTTTCTTGTGACACGTGCTCGACTGACCTGAAAGATTGTCCCATGTGTCGTTGCAAGATTGAAAGCACTTTACGAACATTTATTTCTTAATATTATTTGTCACCTCAAATTTCCAAATGACTCTATCAAAGAAATGTCATTAGAATTCAAGAGAATTGAATCTATTAGTTTGATGATATGTACATTTTAATACAGAACCTATTTCGGTCATCAATTTAGTCTTTGTACAGTAAGAATGAAGACACATTCCTTTCACGTAATTTTGATTTCTAATTATTTCATCACAATAGCTGACTTATGTAGTACAAATATTTGGGTGAGGCCTCCAACCAAGTCATCTCTCGGTCAGAAGTAAGTCTCAAGAACATAGCCAGTGACTTACCGGTTCACCTCTTGGCATTGACCAACTATGTCACCAACTATGTGACCAACTATGTGACAATCTACTTTCTGCATCTACTGTAGGAAATGGTATAGACCAATCACCTCATAAGCCCTGGTCCTTTTAGTTCACTATTTAAATGATAAAAAGGGGGGGGGAGGTATTATTTGTGTATTTACTTTTGTATCTTAAGTGGTCTTGTTTTTATTTTACATTCATTCTGCGTCCTTCAGTGAATGGTTGGGTGCACAAGGTGTTTGCCAATTGTGTCCACCTTTACATATAACTCATCCAACCATTATGGTGTTGTCTTTGAACAATTGCCTAGAACTCTATTTCCTCTTCCTGGCAATGTTTCCAAGATTTGGCAGTGTCTTCCTAACCTGATCATGTTTTTCATTTATCGAACTTTGAGCAAGCTTCTTACTTTGATTTTTCATGTTTGAATTTTGTAAAGATTAATTTTTTGTGCGATATTTTATTGAAATACTTTGTTGTTGTTGTTGTTACTGTTGTTGCTGATGTTGTTCTCTCAAAGAATTGAAGTTCAACAGTTTCGAATGTGAATGTGTGCAAAACGTTTCTAGAAATAATTCACTAGAATGTATGTTTTCAAAGTTTATGAATATAATCTCTCTCATTATTCACTAGAATGTATGTTTTCAAAGTTTATGAATAGAATATCTCTAATTATTCACTAGAATGTATGTTTTCAAAGTTTATGAATTTAATCTCTCTCATTATTCACTAGAATGTATGTTTTCAAAGTTTATGAATAGAATATCTCTAATTATTCACTAGAATGTATGTTTTCAAAGTTTATGAATTTAATCTCTCTCATTATTCACTAGAATGTATGTTTTCAAAGTTTATGAATAGAATATCTCTCATTATGTAGATCTGCATTGATGGAGGGCTAATACAAATGTGCTGCTGTATCTAAAAAATAAACATAGTGTACGTGTAATGTATTATGTATATATATTTATAGCTCCTCCTTCGTGATCGAAGATGAGCTTATTACTCAAATCCTATTGAAGATGATTGCAAAGTCCAATCCTCGCTTTAAAAAGCCGGTCGCATACGTGCCATGGGTAAGTTTGGTCAGTTGCAGATAGGCCTGCTTCTTCTCTCAGCTTCCTGTACTAATGTTTTGGCTGAGTACACTGGGATATCTACTGATCTAAAGAATAGAATAGTTCATAGACTTGCTGAACAAGTTGGCTGGTCGTGTGTTAGGCGCTTAGAACTGTCGCCACTAAGAGTTCAAACGCTTTGCGCCGTCATCCCCCCTGCCATGTGAGCTAAGACGTAGACTATCTTTATTTTATACGGAAACATTGGAAAGTTGACCAATAAATTAAGCAGAAACATTGTACACTTCAAGTTACTTTATCATAAATACTTCTTTGTACAGCGATCATTTTATTATTATGTTCTATATGAATATGAATTAATTTAAAATAAGCTTTTTTTTTTAAAGATATTTAGAAAATTATTTTTAATTATCCGTTTTATTTGAAAGATTTGTATTTGAAAGTAATGGTAAACGATTAGACACTATAAAGGATGTTTTGTCTCCTGTGAATGTTGACAATGTGTGTTTAAAGAAAAATAAATGTCCTCACCCTCCCTGCCAGATAAGAGCTTCGTCAGTGAGAAATAAGACGTATATCTTTCTATTTAAACTGATCTAATTTAAATATAAACACCTCCTTAACATAGACCAATCAAAAGACTTTACAGCTGGATAGTCTTGATATAATAAGTGACATGACAAATGCAAAGTGACCCATAACACAAAGATCATCAACCAACCAATGTAGCGTTGTCGAAGTGGTCATATTTGAGTTTATACATTAGAATTTGTATTCAAGATGTTGGCTAAAGTGCTGCTAATAAAATAAAGAGATGTCAATTCTCAGTTCCAATGATGACTAAGTATCAATGTGAGTAGAGAAGTGTGTTGTTTGTGATTTGACGTGTTGGCTACAGACAAGGGCAGCACGGATTTAGAAGATTATGTTATCAGTGAAAATTACAGTAGCGGTAACAGGAAAAAAATTAACATGATAAAAAGAGGTGCTTCTTTTGCAAAATTCACAACTGTTTATCAACTGAAACGCTCTTTGAAATCTATCACGCCTCGTGCTGCTGAAACATCATTAGCATCTCACTATCACACATCACTGTCCTAGAAGTCGATGGACTGTACTGCTACACATCATCACAGACGAGAATACTGGCGATGGACCAAACAAGATGAAACATCTGAAACCATAGCAACATACCTAAAATAAATTATCGAGAAATAGAATTAATCATTTGAGTGTGCTGCGTTCGCACTAGACAATACCAATGTAATAAAAAAAGAGTGATTTGAAATAAGCTTTGTAAAAATCATCTTAGGATCGAAATAATCGATTCCGTTTAAACTGTTCTGTAATTATATTATTTATTTATTTTTTTTTGAAGTAACGGCTGTGATCTATAATACCGAAAAGTCTCCAAAGCATTTCATTAGGCCCAGTGACGTCACTAGGGTGGATGTCACCCCCCCCCTCCCCTCTCCTTTACATTTTTTTCGTTATTTTTATTTTGTTGAGCAGTACGACGTCTAGGTTATAGTGACCTTTGTTAGTTGATTGTTGAACATCTATAAAATGAGTGCCTTTTAAATTTTGAAATTGTTTAATAGAATTTATCTATAGTTCACTGGGTTTGCGTAGTCATGTGAAACGCATCATTAATCTTCGAAATAGAAGACCTTTCCATTAATGTATAGTTCAATTTTACAACAATGCAAGCATAAGTAAATTACACTGTTTTTTTTTTTCTGGATTTCAAACTTGAAAACCTACCATTAACCTAATCAAATTTAATGTCCTTTCGTTAACGATTTCATTTTAAATCAAATTGCCGTTGTGAAAGTGTCGTCTGTTCCTTTGTTTCAAAAATTTCTTAATTTTAATTTAAAAATAATTTTTCCCATGAAGCCAAACATATGCAGATGGTTACAAATGGTTGAAGGCTTTGTTAAATGATTCAGAGATATTCTTTAAGGTCTTAGTGGCATATGAATCATGCACTGTCAGTTTTTTTTCTGCAAGAATAACTTTTGCTACCTTTAGACCCTTTCTCAGTCATGGTTTTTCTGTTTGAATGTCGCCTTTTGGAAATTCATCATATACGCCAATATGTTGAAACTGACATCTACAACACTTCGTCGGTTTTTGAACTAAAGAATTTCTGGTTGTATAGCTCCAAATGTATCTGCTACTATCAATGATTGCTTCCAGTAGGAGTTGAAGCTCAGCGCTACGATCAATGCACATAAGAATGAACCTCTTTTTTCTCTTCTGAAAGACTGAGTCCGCCATCTTGGGATCTCTCGTCTGACAGTTTCTTCTTGTCTTTATTTTTGTTTTTGTCTGAATCTCACACACACACACACACACACACACACACACACACACACACACACACACACACACACACACACACACACACACACACACACACACACACACACACACACACACACACACACACACACACACACACACACACACACACACACACACACACACACACACACACACACACACACACACACACACACACACACACACACACACACACACACACACACACACACACACACACACACACACACACACACACACACACACACACACACACACACACACACACACACACACACACACACACACACACACACACACACACACACACACACACACACACACACACACACACACACACACACACACACACACACACACACACACACACACACACACACACACACACACACACACACACACACACACACACACACACACACACACACACACACACACACACACACACACTCTTTGCGCTAACGTGTTATGCTTTTGTTAAAGAAAAGGTTTAATTAATCACCACATTATCAATAGTTTAAAGATAGTGTGAGCAGGTCAGGAGGCGCTGAGTGGAGACCTTTTTCTCTGCTCAACATTAAATTTTATAACAGTAGGCAGATGTTTGCGCTACTGGGTGGGCTCAATCTGTGACACCTTAGTCTACGACCAAGGGGCCAGAGTCGCCTAAGCAACCAGACAGCATAATTAAACTAAACTTATCTAGCTGACTAAAAGAACAAACTAAAAGTAAAGCAACCAACTAAATCTATAAAACAAACTTATACACACTTTATCTATACAAGAAAGAAAACAAATCAATAAAAATATATGTGCAAACGAAAATATACGGAAACAACTAGACCAAAACAACTACATAAACAAAAACTAAACAACTAATCAACCCTACTTTATCTATACTATTACAAGTGCAATCACTATCCAACAAACCAAACCCAAATAAAACCACTAGTTACCCCGATTCACAATAATCCACCAAGATACCCTACAAGACAATAAACCACTAAAATAACCTACAAAACAATAAACTGACTTTTTCTAATCTAAACCTCACAACTACTAGATCAACAGGGCAGAACTATACAACAGTTTGGCAGCCATTCGCGGCAGCAATAAAGGCAGTAATTTGCGGCAGCAATAACTGCGGCAGCAATAAAGGTAGCTATTTGCGCAGCTATAAATGCAGGCAGCAAGCTACTAGCAGCAGTACTAGCAGCAGAGTAATAGCAGCTTAAAGCAGCAATAACACAACAGTTATATTCTGCAGAATTATATTCAGCAGTTATAACGAGTAGTAATATTCAGCAGTAAAAATAGCAGCTTAAAGCAGCAATATTAGATACAGCAGCATGTATTTCAGCAGCTATATTCAGCAGGAGTGTAATAGCAGCATGTATTTTAGCAGCTATATCCAGCAGTAATAATAGCCTGCAATACATAAATGCAAAACTATAAATACAAAATCTTATATATTCTATTTGATCTTGAACCCTCATAGCGGGACTAATGGACGCCGCCATCTTTAATACAGCATGTTGACAACTATCATGACAAATAGTCCAAGTAGAAAACAAAACTAAATTAAAATATATCTAGCATATTTACACACAGTGTGACATAGATCTAGTAAAAGAAAATATAAAATATTTCTACACTTACAGGCCGTCCCAGGTACAGAAATATAACAATGATTAAATTATCATACGCCAGATCACTAAGATCATCAACTGTCACACAGAGATATACGTTACTGACCACTGGTCAACTGCACAGGATGTAGCCTGGATTTAACTATTTATACTACCCGCCCTAACCCATATAACAAAAAGCTAAAGTACAAATATTAATTCTGGAACTAGCTATAAAAAATAGAATGCATAAAAAATAGCTCTAACCTATACAAGTAGAAAAATAAAATTACAGATAAAAATAGCTAAAATTACATATAAAAATAGCTCTGAGAGCGCAAGCTCACAATAGGCCTACTCGTGTGTATCATTGGCTTTCTAGTACATCCCCCCCCCCCCCCCCAAAAAAAAAATAAAACAAAAAGTAAAAATAGGTAAAATAAAAGATCTTAAGCTGCGCCTGTAGTGGCTATAATTTCAGAACGAAAAAACAATTTTTTTAAAAGAATGTTGACCACATTGATGGAGTGAATGTTATACACATCTATTAAATAGCTTTTCTGTTGGTTCTTAATAATTTCCTGTACATGGTTCCAGACATTGAAGATGCATTTTCATACCCACTTATAAATTAAGCTCACCCTTCTC